ATCCCTCAGTCGGTGGTCATCAAAGCCTGGACCGTGATCAACTCGAGTATTGAAACCTGGCGGTACATCGGCAACGCCGAGCGTACGACCTGGTCCGAGAGTACAACGCTCTGAAAATTTCGAGAGTCGAACGCCGCAATTCATCCATGCTGGACGCCATCAACAAGATTCCGAAGTTTACTGTTGGAGCGTGGGCTTGGGTGTACAACACGGCTGCTACGATTCGCCAAGGTGCGCGCAAGGACACCGATCAACAGGTGCTCAAGGCCAAGTTCGCGCTCTCCTGGACGGGACCCTACAAAGTACTTGCTGTGGGGCCAGCCTCTGCGAAAGACACCCCGGACGGACACCCATTGGCTCACAAACTGCTCTACCTTGACCTTCCTTCTGATCTTTCGGGCCCAGCAGCTCGTTCGAGGGTGTCTGTACTTCGTTGCAAGCCCTGCCGCAACCCGTATGAGACGGACGATCGGCCACAGTCCATGCCTGCAGAACTCTCTCGCTATGTTTTGCATTCTTTCGGAGATAAATGTCCGCCGTTTCATGTCACCCCAGATGATGTGTCGGCGCCGGTGGGACGTCTGAAGGTTGACTACATTTCGGGACACCAGCTGGTGCGTGGGCGTAGCGGCGTTCTCGCTGTCCTGTATCACACGCATTGGATTGGGCTCGCTACTCCTTCCTGGGAACGTGAATCCGACCTCGAGCAATCCCGTCGACACATCCTTTTGTATTGGTCTCGGGAAATTAGCCAAAGCAAGCAGGGTAACCGCGCTTACCGCAACACTCGGACGCGCGCGGCACAGCGGGAGCTCGCACGGACTCGTGGAGAACGTTATCTGCCCCCGGGAGCCGATCTTGTACTTCACGAGACTTGGCTTCGCCGTTTCAGTTCTTCGCCCTTACCCGTGGGAGCGAGGCTGTGGTACAAGGCTCGAGACGGATTATGGTGGACTGGACGTATCGGGGCTCATCAGGGCGACTCCTACATTGTTCGGTTCCTCGATGATCCTGGCCCCAGCGTTCTTCCCCTGCCTGAGGATCTCTATTCCACCGCCTGAAACGCCGTCTGTGGATCCTGGTGTCTGGAGAAACATCATTCCCGCCGTTTGGGCAACATCAGCGTCCGCATCCGTCTTCCCGTTGACTCCTTACCGTCAGCCGTCCCCACGGTTTCTTCTTAGTGTTTGGTATTTCGGCGCCTTGCGGGGACACTTCCCATTTTTTTTATGTTTTGTGTG